AATATAGTACACCGAGCTTAACATATGCATTTATCCTTTATCTTTTTAGAATTCACATTTTTCATCTATAGAATTCCCTTCAAAAATGTTATCAGCTATTCGCCGTTTTTTCAAATTTATTCATTGGTTTTATTTACAGTATTTATTAAATACTGCTTTGTACATGTTGGAACCATGGGAACGTACAATATTTACAAGTTTATTACTTGTAGTTATAGCCACGTCCATTTATTCATCAGTTGTATTTCTTCCACATCATGTACGATCAATGGTACATCATTATTCCTAGACGTTGATAAGAACAAATAATAAACATTATTTGGGTTTTATTTAACATTGTCTGGTTGATTTTTTATGAACAAAATACATATTCAGTAAATTATTATTTACCATATCTTTATTTTCTTTATTTATAATATCGGTGCTATAGATTTGTATTTGTAAAATACAGGAAAAAAAGTTCCTCATGCTAGTATGGTGTGAAATATCAGCGGACAATGTGTTCCTTGTTCAGAACTTTTCCAGAAAAGATCAGACGTCTGCTTCTCTAAAGTCTCTTTCCTCTAGTTGAGATTGCTGCTTCAGTTGAATTTTTCATCTACACTGGTGTTCGCGGCGACCAAATCGCAGTAAAAATTACACTTAAAAGGACTCATTCCATGATCAAGGTTATTGTATGATAAAATATGGTTTTTATGTGTGTGGAATGAAAAATTGAACCATTATTTAAGATTGGTTTGCAATTCTTATTAAATAACAAAGCATGAAGTTTAGCATCTATTAGAAATCTTCCATCAAACTAAATATGATTATTGAGTCCAAACTCAAAAATCTTTCTTTTCATTGACGCATGTAGTGTTGAAAAAAAATGTGTAGCTGGAACTTTGTAAGACAAACGTTCGTCGATATCTGCAGATAAGAATATACTCGAGAACGTTATAGTGGAAATAGTTTGACTGACATCATTTAGACACCGAGAAGAAAGAAAAATACATTTTGTTAATCGCGTTTGCGAAGGCTTCTTTGAATAATGGCCTAGTTCTATAGATAATTGTACGTGAAATATCAGAGAGATCTTTTTTTTTTGTAAAAATACCGTAGTTTAAATTTGATTTTTAATTTTGACTTACCGATTCGTAAATGTTATCATAAACAAATTTGTTGTTGTGTATTTTATGTTATAGAGTGTATCATCTAGTTTCTTTTATATTTTGCGCTTGTGTACATGACTACAGTGAATGATGCAGAAAAGTAAAAACATCATCTTACTAAATTGTATCACCTGAAAATATGTATTAGCACTGTATACATCCATTTTTGTTTATTGTGCGTGCCGCATGTCACCTTGATCATCCATTATCATTGATATTTTTCTCTTTTTTTGTTTGCTCTCTTTGTGAGTGTAAATATAGTCAACGTATGAAATGAAATCATACACGATGAAAGAAATTTATTTTTCAAGTTTATTACCTGTGAATTACACCCCTTCCATTAAACCCACATAGTGAAAGATGACCTGTTTTTTTTATTCTACAGTCACTATATTTTAATTTTCTTTTTGTTCTTTTGTCTTCTAAAGCACACATGCACATAAGTCTGTCAAATCGAGCAAAACACATAATATATGGCACAAAAGCGTTTTTGTGATTATTAAATTATTTTATCATATCTATCGATAAATCGTCATTTTGTATCTTTGATACATTTTTACGAGTGTGATAATGACTGCGTCAACACCAACAACCTATTTCAACTTTATGTGCGAAAATAATTCTAGTGTTAAATCGGTATACACTGGTTTTGATACATTTTTTTTTCAAAATACAAGTTTTTTTTGAGTATTTGTCGAATATTTATTTCGATAATTAAGTAGGTATTGCTGTATTTTGTGAAAACTTCCAGGACTTTCCTTCGTTAGAAGGAAAATCGAAGTTTTAAGTAGAGAACTAGCGAATAAGGGAATATCACATTTCGCATATGCATATCTTTCTGATCTCTGTTTTTTCTATCGACTCTCTGAGTCGAAATGATATGCGGACATGGAATATCTTATGTGGAAAGAGATATCTCCTTATTTACTATGGTCCTACTTTAAAGAGATTTTTGGAGCAAAATGACTGTTTTTGTACTTTCTGTTCACCTGTTCCGTCCCTAGACGGACGGACAGAGCGCGAATATCGTAGTGTCTGCTATGCATATATTCAGGAAGAAACTTTTCACATTTTGCCCCTTAGAGCATCGTTGTCAAGCTTTTTCTTCAATTAATTTATTTTAATTGCAGTCAAAATCACCAGTCAGATTTTTCGGCTCATTAGTCGAATCCATTCATAATTTTTATGTACAATTTTTACTGGTAACAACTCTGTACGTAATGTAACCATTGGAACAAATTATTATATCACCCGTGTTTATATTGATATCATCAGTGGTTCTATATTCGGCATTTGTGTATATACAATTTTCTTTACATTGTATCACGCAATCAATACCGCAACGTTTGTCAACTATGATTTCAGTGGCAACATTTTAAAATAATTCGATACCATTTATGGAGTAATCAAACCAAATTTAGAACTTTCGCAATTTGATTGAATGAAGATATTTATTTACGTTCAATTCACATGTGTTCTTCTTGAGAAAGGTTCATCGCTGCTTTTATATTTCAATGTACAGTATTCTGGGACTAAAAGTTTACGAAGTATTGTATTGATAGGAGATAGAGAGAGGCAAAGTTTATTAATAAACTATACGAAAAAGTTGATAACATAAATCTTTTGTCCGAAAATATCTTTCTGTGCATATTCTTATGTGTAGTTCTCAACTTCTGTCTATTGATGGACAGATAGTTTGTCAGATTGATTTCTCCTACTTATAATAATATTTATGCAAAACTTGCACCCTTGTGTGCAGTTAGTTTCTTCAGTAGTTAGATGCTGTCTCGTATGCTAGTTGGTGAGATAATCACATGTCTGCCTGTAAAATTGTGACCTCAGTGTAAGTACTTTGCTTTGTATCGTTTATACACGTTTGCCTCTGTTCTGACGGGGCACGTTGGTGAGATAGAAGACCTTACAATTTTATAAAAGTTCAGTGGAGCTATTTAACAAACTACATCGGTTTTTTCTTCTGTGATAAGAATTCATGATTGACATGCTTGATAAATGCGTTTGTTTAACTGTTTTTTGGAATAACTTTGATGACTATTTTGGACACTTCTTTCGATATTATTGTGCATAGATTTAGCCTTCTTTAAAGTTCTTTATATTCTTTTATTTAGTTTGTTTATTTTTATTTTTCGTACGATCTGTGAGGGTGAGATTAAAAAATGTTAATGAAATCGAATTGGAACTGGTCTTAAATACTCTAGGTTCTTGAGGAACGTGGTAACAATATTATATTTTATCCATATATTCCTCATTAGTAGGACAATTTTCAGACAAATCATGTCTGTAGATGTTTATTTAAGTTAACTTTTTTGCTTATTATTCATTTTGTTCTTCACGTAGATGTTATAAAGTCTAGATATTAGAGAAAAATTAGTCAAATACTCCAAATAGATAATAGAAAATATAATCTTTTTTCCTAAGCGCTAGAGGTTATAAAAAGAAGCACATATTATAGAAGTCCTTAAATTGTTCGCCCGTCTTGAATTTGTTATTGATTCGCAAATAGTTTTTATGTTAATTTGTACAATCTCCTTTTTGTTTTGCACTAGTGATTTTTAGTAGATGAAATCTTGCTATCTAGTAATAATTTAACTACCCACCTATATCTGTACAATCATTTTATAATAATAATAAGTATACCATGAAAGAATAACGGCTACTCATATAAAAATCTACTAATATTCGAATTTGTTCTTAGTATACTCTTTATCCGCTCCACTCTAAAATCTCATTTTTTTGAACAGTTATACTTTCCTCACGTTCAATCTATTTATCTTGCTCATTAATATTTCTAGAGCATGCTTTCTCATTAGAAGTTGCCAATCATTAAATCAATTGGTCTTTATCAAAGAAATATTTTTCATATTTCAAAGTCATTTTTTCCAAATTTCAGCGTATTATATACGAACAATGTTGAAAAATAGAATGTATAGTTCTCAAATGTCGAGTAAATAAAGAAATAGAAATCATTTAAATTTAATTATTCTGTTATTTGAATCAACCCATGAACATCATATTACATGTAATTGCAAAATATTTATAAATGGTTTTTAACTATTCTTACTCTACTATTATGATTTTTTTCTTAGCTTTTCTTTATTTATTCCATATTCTGTGTTTTTTTTACTATTTATGCACATGTTAAATGTGTGTATCATAGTAGCAGGTTTGACGAAAGAAAACACTCGTTTTGCTTTTTATTTTTTTTTCCTCTCTGATGAATCAGATTGTAGTATAATCATACAATAATACGAAAATGTTTTGCATTTATACTGCCTAAAAACTGGAAAATTCTTCCTAAGACTCGAACATTATTCACATTGATATGAATATTAGCAAAAATTCTCATAAATATGAAAGTTCTGAAATGAGATTGTTATGGCTTTTGCCGAATCATATAAACTCTCTTTTGTACAGCACAGATTTTAGCTCATAATATTTGAATTGAAATTTTTAACGTGAATTGCTCTATTGAATTGTTAAAAAGGATGAATAATGATAAGACTAAGACAATGCTCAAGCTTAAAAAAAAATTGTGCGTCTGGTTTGCATCTCGATAAATAGGTTAAAAGTCTAGTTGTGAAATAGTTGCATAATTCTGATATGTTCTTGAATAGACTAGGTGAGAGAATATCTGTTGTTCAATTTGAACAAAGCTAAAATGATATAAAATACGACATGCATTTACATCCTTTTCTGAAATTGCGATTTATTTTTTCTTCATGTCTATCAAGTGGTAACTTAGACATGCGTCTAATAATACTCGTAGTATTTGAAACCTAAAACATTAATGATAAGAAAGTTGTTTTGTTTGCATATATTATTTCAGATTAAATGGATGTTGATTCTGAATCGACAGCAACGCCAACGCCTGGAGGAACATCATTTTTGGATGCAAAATTTCTTGAAAGTTTTCGTTCATTTACAACAGACGATAGAGAACATTTAATTAATCAATTTAGAACTTTAACAAATGCACAACTGACAAATGATGGAATCGGATTTTTTCTCGATATGAATAATTGGTAAAGAATTGTTGCATGCTTTTTGTTTCCTTTTCGCATCGGTTTTTTAACGAATTTCACGCTTATAAAATAGTCGTACATGTCATGCATGAAATCAAATCCTAATGCTTTTATCTTATTTAAGGAAAACTGTTTACCTTTATTATTTTTTGTACATGTTAGGAATTTGAATGCTGCAATTGTGGCATATTACGATTTCGAACAGCCTTCTGATAAGTTTCCCATGATGAAATTTGTAGCTGATGTGACCGTTGGTGAAGGAGAAGCAGTACCACCAAGCACACGATTCACAAAAACATGGAGAATTGAAAATTCAGGTATTTATCTATGTGTATGTGTTTTATGAAGATTGAAATGATTTAATGTATCTTAGGTAGTGAACCTTGGCCATCTTCGTGTGTATTAAAATTTGTTAATGGTGATCGTTTACAAGAACGTGATGAAACCTATGTTGGCTCGTTAGCTCCTAGTCAACAAACGAATGTATCGATCGATATGACTAGTCCAATAGGACCAGGAATGTATAAATCACAATGGAGATTATTTACATCAGCTGGTGTACCATTTGGTGGTAATATAGACGAGTTTAAATATTTGACCGATCTATTATATTTCCGTTTCTCTTTAGATCCAATATGGTTGATAGCAAGTGTCGAAGAAGGAGGTTTACTTGGAATTACACAACAATTAAGTGCGTTAGGGGGAAGTAGTAGCAATGATAATGATGATAATATGATGATGGGACATCAAACACATCTTCCATACAACTCAGTAATACATTCTTCAATATCAGAACACAATAACAACAATAACAGCAATCCATTTCAAATGACCAAAACTCATTCGAGTATGTGGAAGTCAAATACTCTCTTTTTTTAAATCAAAAATCACTTCTCATATACCGTGTTTTGATATTTAGTTCATTCCGATGGGAATTCTACGTCAAATGTGTCAGAGTGGAGGAATTATCCGATCATGTCTGTCGAAGTAAGTTCTATTGTGACGTAACATGTGTGAACGATAAGAGAATACTACAGTACGATAGTCAACGGGCAAGTAGTTTAGTTCCAAACATTGCATGAGTACAAATATTGCTGTTACTTTGTCTCGTATATAAGCCAGTGGTGTCTATATTCATCTAAAGGTTTAGAGGCATAAAGCGGACTCGGGTTGTGTTGGTAGGAAACAGTTGTTTGTATGAAAAAGGTGAATATATCGTACAGTAGATAAAAAAGTACTAGAACTAGAGATACTACAACATCTATCAAAAAAGCTTTGTCTAACAAGGTAAAAGCTATATTTTTACCCAAAAATACTTTTCTAGTCGAGTTGTTTTTATCAAATCGAGTCGGGGGCGAATTACGTTCTCTTAACCAGTACAGGTCTCTACTGTATTCTTCAAATGCTCTTAACCGAAACCACTCAAAGTGTACTTGTTCAGTCGTTAACTTCAACTCTCTTGCTCTAGCTCAAGTTGGCATAGTAGCATAAAACTTCGAAGATGTACCACCTCATTTTTTTATTTGAAGTATCATGCCTCAAACGTATCATAGCTTAGAGGCCGCTGAAATCAACCAAGTTTCAACTTTATGCGTCATGAACTAATGAATAAATTTGTTTATATATTTGTTGATTTTAAACTTTTTCAATGTGATTAGTTAAACATTGACTAAATTTCTTATTTTGTTTCATTTTTGTAGGAATTTTCTAGAACAGCAAATTTGAATCAAAATCCAAGTACGACCAACACTAGCACAAATGCGACAATAGAAGATAATTCATTAGACACATTTTAAACTTGTGAAATAAACGTGAATAAATTGCGTCGATACGTGACGATAACGACCGAAAATTTAAAAACGTTTTCTTCTTTTGCGTGTGATGTTGTGTGTTTCATCGAAACATTTTCTTTCATTTTTTGTATCTATTTGTCCTTTGTTGTTTGATTTTTTGCTATGTTTGATTTCTAGACATTTTCTCCTCTTATTCTATTTTTGAATGATGACAACTGCAACAAATGCCCGTTCAACTCTTGTCTTATCCCATACCCAAAAAATGCAATCAACATTTCTCTATTTTGATTTCATCTGATTGAATGCACTCTGTCATCTGCTGAACAGATCCTAGAATACAAAAGTTTAATTCTTTTAATGAGTTAAAATAAATCCCACCTCCCTATCTTTGTTTTCTAATTAAAAAGAAAGAAAAATGAGAATTTTGTTAGTTTGTTTTGTTCTTATTTTTGCATAGATCCATATATAATGAGGGAGTGTGTTTTTCTCTACGAGAAAATTAACTGCACATATATAAACTAGAATGCACGTATGTACATCCTACGCACATACTTCCGCTTGTTGCTGTTGTTAATTGTTAGAACGGATTATCTGCTATATACACACAAACGCACGTTTCCCTTAACAAGTATATTCAGTTTTTTATTATAATACTGTTTCTTTTTTTTTTGCAGTTTTTCATTTTGTTCATAAATACCACTTGCAATTTGTTTTTGCTTTCGTTTTGAACAATCTTCTATGGTGTAAGTAAAAAAAAAGAGAAAAAAAGATTAAGAAAAAGTTTATAGAAAAAATAAAGAATGGAAAATAATAAAGTTCTCTAAACTTCTAGTTGATTTTTGACTAAAACACAATTCTCATGCAGTCTGTTTGACGAGAAAATGATAACTTTTCTATTAAGTATATCGAAAACATAGAGCATCCTATCATTTGGTTATATTAATAATGTCTGCGTGAATATCTTAGCCGTAATTTTACATAATCATGATTTATATGTACACCAAAAGTGAGACTAGAAAAACATTTCTATCATACATATAAGAGGACACTTCGATCTCGTATAAATAGAAACTCAATCCAGAAGTCTTCCACCTGTTCTGTTAGCCGTATGGTGATTATAAGTTTTCCTTGTTTTGTCATAATGTATTTTCTGCTGTGTATAGGTGATTCTTATTTTTATAGATCGAAACAATAATAGCAAGTAATCGACATAATTCGACGTTGATTGTGTTGAGAAATTAATGTGTTCTCATCTGTTTCATCTTATATTGAATTTATTAATTAGAACATCATACTACGCAAGTGTAGTCTAACAACAGTGATTGACCGTTACACAGTCAGTCCGGTCTCATAGCCCGAACGGGATATATATCCCGTTCGGGCTATAAAAATATATCCTGATCGGGCTATGATATCCTGATCAGGATATATATCCCGTTCGGGCTATAATATATATCCTCTTCGGGATATAGCCCGATCAGGATATATT